GACCCTGATCAATTGGTCGGAGACATTAGGAAAAAGAGGAGGAGGAAGTAAGAAGAAGAAGAAACGGGGCGCTCGGGAGGGGCAGCACACACAAACCGAGAATGCGACTTTGGGGACGCGGGAGGGTGAGAGTTGGTGAGAGCTGGTGCAGAAGGAGGAGCGGGAAAGTGATAGGTCACAGGTCTGGTGGTGAGGCTATAGGGACTACTAAGGTAAGCGTGTTCCTGTGTGTGTGTTGCCTAAGCGTCTATGAATAGCAGGCATGTTATAGTCCTGATTGCTACGGAGGAGGAGGCAGTACTGTGGTATTTGATTACCACTGCACCGTTGCGACAGGGCTGTGGGTGGGTAATTGCAAGCTCTATTATTACGACAGCGGTACATCCATGTGCAAGGCTTGCTGGTGGAGCAGCTCCTTCGGATCGCAAAATGGTACGTTTGCTGCTGGCAGAGGCTATTAGGTATACAACTGTATATTCGTACGGTGTGATGGCGGGAGAGCTGAGGCCCATGCAGTTGCCTCCAGCCGACATGAAGGCGAACATGACAGGATCGGGATTCTGGAATATGGAGCTGCAGCGATCTCCTCAGCCCCCTCGTGCTGATGGCCCAATTGTGCATGCAGGCTGCTGCCGTCGGTGAGGAAAGAAGAAGGCGCAGACGGAAGAGGAAGAAGACGGCAAGGATTGGCGTCGAGATGAACTGAGAAGCGCAGGCTCGTGCGCCGGACCCAGGCAATTAGCACAGGTGTTAACCCATCCATCCATATTTGATGGCTGGCTGGTGCTCTGTAGGGCATGTCTGTGGCTGGTTTGTGCGCAGATATGCACCGGTGATCAAACCCCAACCAAATGGATGGCTCCCAATCACGCCCACCGCTCGCGGAGGGTCCCGCAGCCCAGGTCTCCCCCCTGCACCCTGGTCCGTTGGGAAAAAGAAAGCACAAGCTACCATTGCTCGGAGCGTCGACCAGCTGAAAGACACACACGCATCACAGCACATCCCGACCGACACACGCCTGTTCCCGATGCGCTGCGACGCGATGTGATGCGATGCGATGCACGCTGGCTGCTGCTGGAGACTGGTCGCCCGCCCCCACCCGCCATCCCTTCCCTTCGCCTTCCTGAATCCTGACCTCTGCTCTTGGTGCCCGAGCGACACCGAGTGTGGAGGTAATATCGATCAGCAACTCTTTATTTGGATCAAGGCTTGGGCTGGCTGCCACTCCACAGCCGCTCCCGAAAGGCACGACTGATTGGACTGTCGAGCCGTCTAGCCTCCCTCCCTAGCCCAGGGAAAAGCTGGGTCTAGCATCATCGTCAACATCATCCTCAGCGTCGTCCCTCCCTCCCTCGTTAGTCTTATCCTGGGGGGCCCGGTCCGGATAGACGCCGTTGGCTGCCCTGGACCAATTCCATCTTCTCGGTCTCCGGACCCCTGTCGTTTAATGTACTTACTTGGTGATGATGCCCTTGGCCTATTTTTTTCCCTTTCGTTCCTTTTTTTCCCCTTCATCATCTTCTCTCTCCCTTGTTGCTGTCCGTTTCCTGGATTCCTTTTTTATTTTCTTTTTCCTCGCTCATGCTACTCGGATCCCAACCTGCTGCCCTGGTCCCTTACCACATGGTAGCTCTCATCTCTCCTTTAGCAGTCTAGCAGCCGACCCCAAGCATCTGCCGGGTGATCTGCTGTGACATGCTTCCAGCCCGTCTCGTGTGAGACACGGGGCCCGGTGTTCCTCGCACAGCATTGCTCTTGTACCGCGCCCTCTCCAGCTCCCTCCCTCCCCCGCCAGCGAGTTGCAAGGCTGTCCGAGAAAGGGCGCTGATCCTGGCTTGGATAGCTGGAGGTGGTTTTTGGGCCGGTCCGGAAAGTATTAATTAATGTAAGTGCGCTCCAACTGACACAGCGTCTCGACATTGGAAGTTGACTGAGACAGAACTGCATCCTGCCAGCACGCGCACCCACCTCTGCCAGCTGCGCGTCTCACCGAGTTCCACCCTTGGACGATTACATCAGGTCTCGTCTCGTATGACGATCCATTTCTGACCTTGCTGGCGTTTTCACTTGCGCCATGACGGTCAACCGAGCCTCGATTGTGGGCACGGGAGGTGCTGGCCCTCACATATCATCCCTCTTGGACCATGGGTCTGCCAACCACCGCCCTCGACGCCAATCCGCGCTGGATCTTGCCAGGAAGCCAGGTCGTCGCATACAAACCCGCAAGTCCGCTTCCGACCTTTTGGACGACGAGGACATCAAGCGCCAGCTCTACAGCCCCATTCTTGCGCCACATCTGCCCAAGCGTCCCCCCACCAGCGATGGCGTCTCTGATCTAATTGACTTCTTACGGAACCAGACGCCGCCACCGGATCACTTCATGTCCAAGCCGGATCACTCTGACGGCGAGGAGCGAGGGCGGGGCTGGCCTCGATGGAAGAAGGGTGCTCGTCGTAGTAGGTCCCTGCCGAAACGCCAACCTCCTCCAATCCGTCTCCCAGATACCGCCGTCTCTGGTACAACAATCGGAGGGCACCGCCATATTGCCATCACCATCCCCTTTGACGCACTTCCTATGGGGGATGTTCCACGTTCTCAATATCCAGTCTATCAACAAGAAGCCGCAAAGCCCAATGGCTTGAATCAGAACCCTGTTCGGGCGTATGTGAATGAGAGAGGCGTCGTGACAGTGCTCCGAACTGTCAAGGAGGACCGCGAGACCTCGAACTCGTCCAATTGCTCTGAAATACCTGCTCAGAAGCAACCTCCCATTACTATCCTTCCACGGACCCCCTCTTATGGAAATTCGCGTCAAAACACCAAGGTAAACTATCTCAGTGTTCCACCAAGTCGTGGCTCGATCAACAGCTCTATCCAGGAAACTCCCCAGAGACTGCAGGGGACTTCAAGGGGTTACCCAGCACGTGCCTCTTCAATGAACAACCGTTCTACTCCGCAACAACAACATGTGTCCATTGAGGGAGTTCTTTCCAAAGGGAGCGCCACCATTACTTCCAACGATATAAAAACCGCCATCCTCCAGAGCACGCGGCCTGCGTCGAGATCCAAGGCTGCTCCTGAGTCCAGAGTATCCCGCCTGTTAGCTTCACCGATCGACTTGGATTCCAAGCCACTACCATCTCTCCCATCTAAAGAAGAGCAGGAGAAGGCCGAATACGGAGAGGAGAAGGAAGCCGAGCGACGTATATCGGCTTCATCCCAGGAGGAAACAGCCCTTGATCATTCCCTCTCCACCAAAAGTCGGCGAGATCGAGTTCGCGATCGCAAGCGACGAGACATAGAGGCACATTTGAATACGAAGAAGCTGCCACAGGAGGAATCAAGAAGGCTCCAAACCCCCGTACACGACAGTGAGCCCCAGCTTTCCAGAGAGCCTGAAGTTGTCAACAGTCAAGAAAACACCGCCAGCTTCCCGACATTTACCCCAATCCAAGTTGTGTGCAGCTTGGAGCCAACACCGTCGCCCAGCGAGACTGTTCCAACTGCACCACCAAGAATGAGCTTCCGACCCGAACCCAGGACCCCTACTAGACAGATCATCAGCCTAGAAGATGATCTAAACGATGCATCTAATTCCCAAAAGCCATTGGCAAACAGCCACTTGGACTCGTCCAACGAGCCCGCCCCTCCGCTATCACCCAAGGGCTCACCCATCCGGAGGCACAGCGCGCTTGACCGAACTTCTCTCTCTCGTCGACGTGAGTGGAGGGCATCTCGAGAGACGGAGCGGCAAAACCGGGAGGCAAGAGCTACGATGCAGGCAAGAGCTAGAAAGCTAGCCATGGAAGTTGGTGCCAAAGAGGAGACCCCCGCGCTGGATAAGGAAATTATGCGGCTCTATGAGGCATACCGAGAGCATCGATTCCGTGATATGGAACGCCGACTACGACGACTAGAACGGAACGGCGATGTTTGGCTCCGTGCTCTTGTTCCAGTCCTCGACAGCCTCAACCAGTCCGTGGTCACCTCCAACCGTGATGAGTCTGAGGGCCGAGGATGGGCATCGGATGGCGAAGAATCGGCCGCACATGCTATCAAGAAGGAAGCTCAAAGGCGCACTTCTGCTCCTATCCGCAGGTCAAACAGCGCGCAATCATACAGAAACGCTCGTGAGCAAGGGCTCGTGCAGAAGCTAGAAGAGGTCCTGGAGGACGACATGGAGAGCCGATGCTGCAGCTCCAGAGGCAGCGATGAAGTGAGCGGCCTGGACATAATCGAGCCCCTGATGAGGGAGTTGGCTGGGGCAGCCAAGGTGAGGCGGATGAGATCTCAAGAGCTACTGCACGCCTATTAAACGATCTTGATCTCGCCTACCTATTTATTCCCACGAGAATGTGCATTCTTTTCTTTCTATTCCCTTTTCTCGAGTATTCTTACCCAAAACAGCCTTGCGTGGAGAACATTTCGCATTCTTCTTTGTCAGTTTTGATACCAGGCGTTACTGGCCCTCTGGGTATCTAAGGCGGTATTGGTCATGTACCGGTAGTTGAAGCTGTTTATTATTTATTTTCTAATCTAGTAGCTAGAGTTGGTGTGGCTAGAATTGTAAGTTTTGGATGAGCAAGGCGCTGGCTGAACAGCAAGCACGACGTCGAGTCTTTGAGCGTGGATGAATTGGCGACTGATTGGATAGCACCTGGACATACCCAATTGATTGATTTAAACTTCGCTTATAAGACCATTCATCTAACACGGTGCTCTGCCGCTGCTGAAGTCAATTCTAACTATCTGCTTCCATGACGTCGTCACTAATCTAGCTCCTTCGGAATGTCGATCTCCTCAACTTTGTTTGGGAGCTCCTGCTCCCCAACTCCTACACCATATCTTACGGGACTAAGTGTTATAGCTAGGGATCACTTGGCTATACTATGTAACAGAAGCACATTGAGCTGAACCAAATATTCGAATAAGTGTCATTCAGAGTGATAACCCAACACATCACATCAGATATACATCTACCATCACCACACCGGCCAAGAATGTCCCTTCCCTGGGCCTTCATCTGCCCCTCCAGCCGCGGAATAGGCTTCGCCCTGACCCGGCACCTCCTCCGCTCGACCACGATCCCCATCCTGGCCACGGCCCGCGGTGACACCTCGGCCACCAAGTCCAGCCTCCTGGCCGACCTGCCCGGCGCCCCGGACCTCGCACAGCGCCTCACAGTCGTCCCATGCGACGTGACCGACGAGCCGTCCATCGAGCGCGCGGCCCGCCTCGCCGCCGAGCTGTACCCCGCCAGGACGCACCACCTTCACCTCGCCTGCGCGGTCCCGGGGATCCTCCACGCGGAGAAGAGCCCGCGGCAGATCGACGCCTCAGACAGCCTCGAGACCTTCCGCGTCAACACGGTGGGTCCGCTGCTGCTCATCAAGCACTTCTCCGAGTTCCTCCCCAGGCGGGCGACGCAGATGGAGGAGCAGGAAGAAAAAGGGGACGCGACCCTCCCGCGCCACGCCGTCTGGCTGAGCATGTCCGCCCGCGTCGGGTCCGTGACCGACAACAGGCTGGGCGGGTGGTACTCGTACCGGGCGAGCAAGTCGGCGGTGATGAGCCTGACCAAGACTTTTGACAACTTCCTGCTGGCCCGGAGCGGCGAGAGGGCCGTGGCGGTCGCGTACCACCCGGGGACGGTCAGGACGGACTTCAGCCGCGAGTACTGGGACGGCGTCGAGGATGGGAAGCTGTTCAGTCCCGAGTACGCGGCGGAGAGGATGGTGAGCGTGGTGGGCGGGCTGGAGCTGGGGCAGAGGGGGAGGTGCTGGGACTGGAAGAATGATGAGGTGCCGCCTTAGAAACGATGCTGACGAATAGTAATACATATTTTGAAGGAGTCCCTTTAGTTACAACTCAAAGTTCGGAATTTTCAGTGGCTTCATATAGGCAGGCTATATTAAAATAGAAGAAGTAGAAGTAGAAGCAGTAAAAGAAACCAAAAGCCTACCGGCCGCAAGAGGCCCCGGACGCAGCTGTGCAAAACTCCCAAGAGATAGAAAAGGGTCACGGAACGCCTCGCCCCTCCCGACCCGTTCTAGTTTTGGTAAAAATACATTGAGGCGCTTACAGAGCAACGTCTTGGAATGAAGCGCCGTCGGGGGTGGGCGACTTTATCGCTTGATCCCCAGCGTTACTGGCCTCGCCCTCCTCTTCGTCGTTGCTGTCATCCTTCTTGGGGCGCAAGGCAACCTTGTGCCCCTCCATCTCTTCAAGCCGCACCTTCTGCTCGTCCTGGTCCCTCGCGGCCAGGGCCTTTTGCTCTTCTTCGGGTAGAGACTTTGGCTCCTGGTCGTCCTCCTCGGCCGGTGCACCCGTTGCCTCATCGTCTTCGTCGTCCTTCGTCGGGGGCAGCGGTTTCTCCTCTTCCTCCGCGTGTCCCTGGCCCGCGTCTGGCCGCGCGCCGTTGCCCGGCGCCGTGCTATCTCGGGGGAGTGGTTGTTGCGCCGGTGTTCCCGGAGCTGAGGGTGAGTCTTCCATTGGTGGGCCAGGCCTCATTGCATCCAGGTAAAACTTGGTCACTCCCAGGATCCGACCATTCTTCTCGCAGGCCTCGACCCATTCCGGTCGGACAACAGGAATGTTCGTCTCAACGGCCTTTTCCCAGGCCTGGCCTCGGCCCTCTGTCGTTACAAAGTGAGTCGTATCGATCCGTACACCGTCCACAATCTTGGCCCCGATCCTATTCACAGCCTGTCCAAGCCTCTCTCTGGTGGTTGGTGGCAGGATGCCAGTTGTGATCGTGACACCGCTCAGGTCTGTCATTTTGTGTGTTCGCACCGTTACTCTCTCGCTGCCGAATGTCCCCGCGGTCGTCCTCAGGACCAAATGGAAAGTGTACTCGGTGTCGACCGCCAAACCGCTAATCTTGGTGCTGTGCATTTCCAGCGGGCGCGGGATGTTTCCAGCTTTCTGGCCATTGCGATACAGGCTCAGGGAGATCAGGTCGGCGGTGGCTAGCTGGATGGGGTCCCACTCGAGGACAACAGAAGTTTGCGTGGCATTGCGGCAGCTGAGGACGGGCGTGGCGGGCTCTTGGGCGCCGAAGCAATCGTAGATCTGGTCTTGGAGCGCGCGGAAGCCTTGCTGGGCGGTTGCCTCCTTGGCAATATTCTGGGAGACATTGATGTCGACGATACTACCGGATGAGATGTCAGGGGGGAGGAGAATGGATGGAAACTCGATCTTGAGGGAGTATCAGCATTTAATTCTGGCGAGCATTGGAAAGGGGGATGTGAACAATGCTGGAGGACGTACTAGGCGCTTGTCCGGCGTCAACAGGACGGTGACGCCAGCGTCGACCTTGCCGACGGTAAGAGATACAAGCATTGTCACGGATGCGCAGAGTCTAGAAGCAATACGATACAGTTGTCGACAGAGAAGCTCGCTAAATGTGCGCGCAAAGGTTGGAGCAGAGGACGATGATTTCCAGATGGAACACGCTGCGTGGCCTATTATTAGACTAGGCGTTGGCGATTACTGCTGTTTCCGCTCCTCTGCAGCCGTAGTAGCTTATCAGCCACAGCCTTAGGGGGAGCTGTTGCTCTGTTGCGGCTCAGCTACCAGGGCAGTCACGTGCCCAAGTTCGATGACATGCGACACATCGTGCACGTTATGCACTGACACTGATATATTATCGTCGTTATTGTAGGTGAGAAATTGTTCTGTCAAAGGTGTTGCCCCATCGCAAACCGCCTGGTCCCTCTTGTCACAATGACTTGGGGTTGAACGCATCTCATTGGATTTCTTTGTGTAGGTGCTTCTTTATCCAATTTATGCGTTCAGCTGCACAACCTTAGTGCTCTCCCCACTTGCCTAGGCGAAATCTTGGCAAGGCCGGCATAGTCCTTTTCACTGTGGCAATTGCCTGGTACTGGACCTTAGCTGTGACTGAGAGACTCAGACGGTACATAGTATAGTAGAAAGACTAAAGAGTTATTTGATCCCTCAATCAAAGTGAAGTTAGAGAGGGTAGGCATCCAGGAGCCAGCATTTAATAACTTTGGTTTCAAAAGAAGATTTCTAGAGCTTTTCTTTCATTCGCATGCTGTTCTACTCTCACCCACGGTCTATTTAACCCCACCATTTCAGTTCACTATTCACGACAGGTTTTCCCCGCATCATCTCTCATGCTGCTTCTTGGGACATGAACGATGACTGATAGGGAAAAAGCAGCTTGATATAAACCATATTGGTGTCTGCTTAGTGCGAAATGATTCTGGCTTCGTTGACGCCCCAAGACGTCATGATATCGTTACACGGCACCAACAGTCACTGGATTCTCAATTGTAACCTTTGCACCGGTATGTCATTTACTTCAACTACCAATGCACCCTATGGCATCCCATGCACCCGAGATTGTAGAAGAACCGGCCGGAAAGACACAAGAACCGCAGACTCCCTCTCCCGCAAAAATTTTGGATTCATCAAAGACAACCGTTTAGCGGGTAGCCTTGGCGATCTTGGGGGCAGACCCCTTAGCACCCTGCTTGCTGACCTGTCCTCGTGCGGCCGAGCCCTTGGCGGCGGCGGCGCTCTTGGCCTTCTCAGCCTTCTTGGCGGCGGCGCTGGCAGCCTTCTTCTCCTTGCTCTCCTTGATGGCCTCGGCGCGAGCGGCGTTGCGGGCCTCGGGGCGCTGGGAGCGCTTCTCCTTGATCACATCGAGGGAAGCACCGACGATGCCACGCTGGGCCTTGACGGTGCGGCGGGTTCGCTTCTTGGCAACCTCCTGTGTCTGGTGTCAGTCGTGTTCGCCATCACAAAGACAAGAGCTCTGCCATCTCCTCCCGAAGCATAGGAAGCCCCCGGGATACAGAGGTATTAGCAGCCTCTCGGTCTGGGGGTTTATAGGGCGCTTCAATCGTACCTCAGAGATACCCTTGCGGTGCTGGCGGCGGTACAGGACAGTCCAGGCGATGCGGCGGGGGTTCTTTCGTTGCAGGAAAAGAGACTCGGACTTGCCGTTCTGGAATCGGAAGACCTTGCTGTCGCCACGGACGTAGATTTTACCCTGAGACAATCACCAGTCAGCTTCTGCAATCAATACACCAGGGGTTTCCACGAGGCTCTGGTCAAGCGAGCCTGCCTATCCCATGCTGGCCGAGGTTTTATATCCAAAGACCTCCAAGTCAGGGTCGAGGGTCGCAGTTCGCTGGGCGGCAATGACCAAAGCCTGGGAAAATCGAGACAATCGAGAGCGTACCTTGCCAGGGTAAATTCTAGCGCCGGAGAATGAGTCGTCGTAAGTTCGCATCTTGTCGCAGTTGTCGGATTATCGGCGACAAAACGTATATGGTGGACCGGAAATTTGGCGATGTCGAGAAGTTGCAGGTCGCGATACGCTCAATTTTCTGGAATTGGGTGGTGTGTGGTACTGACTAAGCGGCTAGGGCAACGGGGCCGCTAAGTGCTTCATGACTGGCTCATCACGTGATCGCGGTATTTGGACCCACCCCGTACCCTCACTCGGGAGCTGGTAACCTCCCAAGGCCGCATTGAAGGTAATTAGACGTTGATGATGTTCCTTCACGCACTTGCTAAGGTGAGGGAGGGCGATTCCTAGGGCAAGCTGTAAGTACATATCCAATAAATGGCTTCACGGGCAAACCGCATTGCGCTTGCGGTCCTCAATGAGTTCAACAAGCTCCCCGCAAAGCGCAAACCACTGGTTCGAGATAACGGGCTGCATGAATGGGTGCCTCTCAGTGGCATAGTTGCAGAAAAGGACGGGAATTTTCAATGTTTAGCCCTAGCGTAAGACTGACGTCTCATGTGCTCGTCTCTCCATCCTTGTTCTAAATTCTTGGTGTAGGACTGGTATGAAATGTCTTCCAGCCTCCAAGTTGCCTGATTCCCACGGCGTTGGTATACATGATTGGCATGCGGAAGTTTTGGCCATCAGGACCTTCAATCGCTTTCTCCTAGATGAATGTCACAGCTTGAGAAGTGGTGAAAGTCAGACCAAGTACATTTCTCCAGTACGTTGCAGTCCACTCTCGACAGGAGAACGCGGAAATCAGTTGCCGTTTGCTATTGGTTCTGATGTCAAGCTTCACATGTACTGCTCGGAAGCTCCTTGTAAGCAAACCCATTCTAGAATAGGAGATGTCACCGAAGATGCTCACTCTTGCAGGTGGCGATGCTAGTATGGAGCTCACAATGGCTGCGCAGGAGAGCGCAGCCCCATGGGATGTCCCCGACGCCGTAGAAAGCACAGGCTCCCATGATCCGGCTGGCTCTCTCCCTGGAAGAGCATACTTTTCACAGCTAGGTATTGTGCGCAGGAAACCTGCCCGCGGGGATGCTCCTCCAACCCTCTCGAAATCCTGTTCTGATAAAATCTCTCTCAAACAATGCACCTCACTACTCTCGAGCATCACATCACTCTTCATAAATCCTATAAACGCCTACATAGACACGATGGTTCTGCCTCGGTCTCAGTTTTCTGAGAGTGGCTGCCGACGTGCATTCTCAAGGCATGGCCGGATGAAAGCTCTCGACGGGGCACATTGGCCTGGGGGTTACTCCTTTAAACCATTCAATATCGAGACAACAGACCTCGAATTTGCATTCTCGAAGAAAACCGTCTCCGAGAAATCTAGCAAAGTATCAGCCAGCAACTTGGCTGCAGCTTGGTCGTTATCTGGAGTAGAAGAGACGATCATCGGGGGTGTCATTCAAGGGAGGAAGCCGTTTGACGCCCGTGGTGCCAGCCAGATGTCTCGCAGGGAGATGTGGCTGAAGGCTAGGTCCCTGGCTTCCAACCTCGAAGCAGGGCATGCATTCATCAATGAAACGCTCCAATTCCCCGCCTACCGAGAGGTCAAAGAATCCACCTTGTTGGCGGTAAGAAGAAAGGTGAAACAAGACGTTCAGATCAAAGCCTTGACAGGCTGGCAGAAAAACGATGGTGACTCAGACTTCAACATCAACCAGATACAATAACGTTTGGGGAACAACATCAGAAATTGGTATTTTTTCCGGATGCAAGCCGTACCTAGTACAAACCCAAAAATAATCAAGCCAGCCCGAAGAGTGTCAACCCTTTTTTACTGTGACATTTTGCAGACCACGACCATTGCTATGACTCCAAGTGCACCATTGGAAACCCTCAGGATTACTGCAAGGGCAATGATTTCAAATCCTCCATCACACCTGTGCGCACAGAGCATGGCAAGGGGATTTGACTTGAGCCGGCAGAAGCTAATTCCCACCCTGCCCTCCTTTTGGAGTCAACGACATTTATTCGACCTTGCTCTCGAAGTTCTCGCCCTCTACCAGGTCGGGGATGTCGTCCTCATCATCACCCTTCTCGCCCTTCTGCATGTTCTGGTAGCTCTCGGCGAGCTTTCGCAGGGAGGCGAGAGAGTCGGGGCCGAGCTGGTTAAGAATGCCGGGAACAAGCTCCGTGAGCTCCTTGTCCTCGCCGTTTCCGTAGATGGCGAAGGTGTTGTGGGGGACAGCGGCATGAACTGAGGAAGCAGGAGTTAGCAATCTCGATCACACCATCAATCCAAAAAAGAACGCAGGGTTCCTGTAATTACCCTTGGGGGCAGCGAAGTGGATAACGTTGCCGTCGGACTTGAACATATTAACCTCCTCGATAGCCTGGATGGGCTGGGTGCCCAGCTTCTTCAGGGCAGCCTGGAGCTTCTTGTCGTCGGCGCCGGAGCGGGCGGGCGCACGCTTGACCTTGCGGCGGGGGGTACCCTTTCCACTGTTCGACCATGTTAGACGAAGGACTGCACGCGGAATATAAGTTCGAGAGTCGCGATAGAAACATACCCTATGCGACAGGTCAGTACACTCTCAAATTACAACAGATATTCGCCAATTCCAGCATACCGATTCGGGCACCCTGGCCGAGCTTCTTGAGGCGCTCCTGGACGTCCGCCATGTTGTGCTGATGGGGGGGATGTGAGGGTTGCGGGGTGGGAGACAAAAACTAGATGAGAAATTGTCAGCTTAGGGAGCAAAATGGAGAGTCGCTTCGGGGACGATTTCGGCTCATGGGGACATGATTCCTGCGTTTCGCAGCACAAAACTTACAGATGCAATGGAGTTGCTTATAAAGCTGTTCCTTCTCCGTCGGTTGAAGCTGGCGATGGTGGTGGTTCAAAGTCGATTTTGTGCGTGCCAAGACTTCCGGCACTAGGAACATATATTTTACCGAGAGGGGCGCCCGCTTAGAAAGTCGCAGGTGGTGGATTACATAATCTTCTCCAATTGAAGATGGTATCGACGTAATTGGCTGTAGAACTTGGCGGGGCCAGCGAGCAAGCAAGTACAGCAATCATCATTTGAAATTTGGCTATGGGTGCTATCTCGCAACAGAAAATGGATACAATGGCTTCGTGGATTGATTAAATCTCATTTGCCAAAAATGATCGTATTTTATCTACTCGCGGGTCATCAATTCCCAGCTCATTCCCAGCTCATTATAGCATACTCTCATCAGGGCACTTCTTTCTATCAACTTCAGAGATATAAAAATAGCACGGACAGAGATGCGAATTGATTCCGAGCAGAATATATCATTATCATTCCAATGATTAAATATAAACAGACATTGTGTTTGACCTTGACCAACCCTCTCGACTATAGGGTCAAAATCGTACACCTTATAATACATGATACATAAGTAATTGGTGGAGTGAGACGAACCGCCAGGGAACTTGACCAATTACACCCTTCGAACGAACATCAATCATCTCGACAATCCAGTTTCTTTTCTCATTTCTTCCCGTCTCGCCTCAAGCTCCTGATCCCTAGCCTTGGCACCGTCTCTGATGTCTTTCCTCCTCTTCTCTTCCCGGTCTCTTGCCTCTCTTTCCCCTGCCTCTTTTGCGACTACCCAGACTGATTTGCAGTTAGCATACCTTCCTCGAAAGAATCGCAGTAGCACCAGTATCCATACTTGGTTTATCCGACTTGGAATATTCCTTCAGCTTAGTCACAAAGTCGTCAAACTCTTGCTCCCGTTGTGCTCGGTTTTCCTCGCTTCTCCGGCGCAGATCCGGGTTATATCTCTTTCGGATTTCTTCCTCGGTCGGAGTTACATATGCCGTGAGCATTGGGCCACCAACACCAAACGTAACGCCACTGTTGGTTTATTTCGTTAGCTATTGGTAGGCAGCTGAACCGAAATAGCATCTCTCACTTACGCAATGGCGACCTTGGTCCACATCCTCCAGTTGAACGGTTTCTTTGGCATCTTGTCACGCGCAGGGCTCGACTCGGGAGGATGGTACGGCGGGGGAGGATGCGACTTGAATGACGTTGATGTCGCGATTCTGAAAGCGACGGCAAGCCGATTTGCTCTGGCTAGCCGGCAGTATTTTTAGCGGGCGGTCAAAGCTTCCTGCCTTAAACAGCAGATCTAGGCAGTGTGTGGCTTGCCTATTGCTGCGCCATACTGCATGTACGACGTCTTACTTTACATAAGGCATGTGGGGAAAAAGAGCTTCCCATTCATGGCAAACACGGCACATGCTGCCAACTGCCAATAGTGCGGCGTGCCAACCTAACTTTAGACTTATGTGTTACCACTGCTCCGTGCTGCTGCTGAGATTGAGGCGATGGCCAAGCCTCTCGGATCCTTGGCTTGACTTACATTGCAGTTAGTGTTAGTATTAATAACACATCTTACCTCATATCCATAGCAAGGGAGAAAACAGACGTCTAAACCTTACAGCGCGTCCTCCCAACTGCCAGAAACGCGACGTTCCAGTGGTGACTATTCTGATCTAAGTCTATCAGCGCACCCTAACCTTATTCTCGGGCAGTTCTGTAGGGCGGGAAACAGGCTGGAGAAGCACGGCAAAGGAGACGGAAGAGCCACCGATTGATCCCTTCCGCCATCCTAAGTGCCATCAGGTTGGCCTAAAATATGAATAAGATCTAATCTTGCTATAAACAGGGCCGGATGTGTACGTCAGCTCCAGGCGCTAACGGGATGGAGGCTGCGGTGCTACAGATCATCAGGCACGAAGCAACGTGCCGTAGGGAAATATGCATTGACTGGCTGGGAATCCGCAGGGTTTCTTGGATTTTTGCAGCTTCACCGGCGGGGGCTGGAGACACTCGTCAGACAGTCGCCAATCACACGTCGTAGCCCCCTGGACCCTCTCGGAAGCTTCTCGAGTCTGGGTTCTCGCAGGGATACGGCCAGGGTCCCGCCTTAGACATTTTGGCCGTTGGCCTGTCACTTGGTGGGCATTAACTGGCCGTTTGAGCCCAACAGGCAAGTGTTAATTTACACTCTGGTCCTGGGACGGGCCATCCTGGATCGCGTGCCTACACAGATCCAGATTGTGTCCTTTGCTTTGTCTACCTTCCCCTTTTTGTTTCGATTTTGGGTTTAATTTCTTGTTCCGTGGTCGCTTGACAACGCGCTCGCTCCCCTTCCCAGCTGGACTGTCTGGAACCCGTGCCGCTTGTCTCATGACTTTCCTGCTGCGTGCCCCAATTGGAGCCGGAAACAGTGGTTGAAACTTGAGAAGTGACCGCCGCTGCATCCTGTAAGTTTGCTTACCACCGTCATACTCCGTCCACGCCATGGAATGGCACAGCGCTCAGAGTGCACGGTGTGCTGGCCCTGCTTCCGCTTGTGACCCAATAATTACCTACCCTCCGACCCATGCACCTCACCTACCTAGATCTCTAATTAGAATCCTACCTTGTGCCTTGCCTTACCTTGCCTTGCGCTGCTGCATTATTACTACCGCCATCATCCCTCCCAACGATTGCGCTGCCTTCCCTTCCTTTCGCGAATTCTAGCGCCACTGCCCACGTTTCCCCTTCCCAGTTTTGGACTTAGACTGGTCGAAACAAGGACAAGCTAATCATCGGCGATTAGTCCTCCGCAGCCGCTTGTAACATCACCCCAGGATCGCCACCATCTGTAACGGCCTGGACCCTTCCCCGCTGTCTGCAGTATTCGGACCTTCGCACACGACCAGCGCAGCAACGAGCCCAGGTATGCGCCAGTAGCTCTCGAGCCGCGCTCCTGCGACATCGAAGAGCATCCTACATCGCAAACACTACCTCTCTCCCACCTGGACATGGGAGCCTCGGCACTGTCTTCTCCTCGGTAGCATATCCGGTATCTAACTCAATCTAGCGATCAGCTCGCTTCTCGTCTTTCTTCTCTTCAATTTCTCCTCTGCCCATCGTACAAGCGCCAGCCATGGCGTACGATGGGGGACACATGAACCAGCGACCATATAATGGTCAGGCTCACCGAGGAGGGGGGTACGGCGGCCTGCCACCACCGCAACAACAGCATTCCCAACAATATGGGGGCTCGCAACGACAATACGATAACTCCTACGACGGATATGGACAGGACGACTACTATAATCAGCATGAGGGAGGCTATGCCGACGGGTATGGCCAGGGATATAACGATGACTATCAAGGCCATGGGTACTCCCAACAATCCCAACAGCACTATCCACAAGATGGCTATGGCCAGGGGGATGGGCGGCAACCCTCTCGCGGAGGATATGGCGGGATGGGATACGGCCGCGGTGGAAGGGGGCCCGCACCAAGGCAGGGCGGCCCTCCATCAGACGTCCCCCAGTCCTATTCAGACCCAAATCGTAGGTTTGCATATCACTATATGTCCTTGTGACCCAGTCTGACAGTCTTGTAGTTGGCCGTCCAAACGAACAACGAACAGGCCCTCGAAATGGAAACTATAACGGCGACTATCAGGACCGCCAATTGGCTGATCAGATGTATGGTATGGATATCAACGATTCCAATGGGTACCAACAAAGGATGCCTCCAGGACCAGGGCCAGGATCAAGAGGTAGTGGCGGAAGCCAAAGGAGTCATGGAGAGTATGGGAGACAAATACCTAGAGGTCAATCGGCTCAAGGTTATTCTAGCGGCCGAGGATATGCTGAGCTAAATGGTTATGGGCATGACAACCGCCAGGACCAAGGACGACAGAACCATGAATTTGGGCCTCCTGCGCGCAGTATGACGACACCCATTAACGGAAACCATTCCATGGGCCAGCCACAACGCAAGAACACGAACCCCTACGATCATATGGCTGGCCAAGGCGTTCCAGCCCGACCAGCGACAGCTGCTGGTAGCAGACCACAGCGATCATTAACTGGGGGTTCTAGGGAACAACACGATGCCTTCCCAGGTCGGTTCGACGATAGCCGTGGCTACGGGCAACAGTCAAACGGACACGGTCCATACTCCGGACATGATGCCACAAGCCTCCCTGATTTCGATGCAATTCCACAAAACGCACGAGGATCATTTGACGACATGATCCAATCCAGTCCGGAGCAACGTCAACCTGGTGCTCACCAAACAGCCCAACTAAACCATGCCAAGTCCCAGCCTGATTTGCGCCAGCCTCAAGCTGCCGTCTTCGAGATGGCCCCTGATGCTCCTTCTGTGCCACCCATGCCCAGTATGAACAACTTCCCACCACGAAAGGACTCGAGTTACAGCGAGCCAAGAAGTTATAACCAGCCTCCTCGGGGCGCATCCCGAACTCCAGCTCCAGGTCAAGCAAATGCTCCCTCGTTGATGCGACCAGGAGGTCCCATGCCACCAGTTCCGCCGGCGGCCAGCACAAACCCAGACGCACTTCCTTCACACCCAACCCCGGTACGCGCTGGACTGATGGAAAATTCCATGGTCAATATGAACAACAGGCCACCTCCTGTGCGCAACTACGGCGGCGTCCAACAACCGCAGCAACCGAAGCAAAACCACCATCCAGCACCTCAACGGCAACAAGGCCAACCGGCCCCCAAGAGAGCTTCACTGACAAAGCCACAAGATCCCCCTGTGACTGCGCAAGAGCTCGAACACCTTCGAATGGTCATTAAGAACAACTCCAATGACCAGGCATCAGCCTTGCGT